CAGGGCGAGCCACTTCAACCACCTTGCCCTTGATGCGGAGTTGACAGTGTCCATGGACGACTCTTGCCTCACCACTTGGAGGGTTGGTCGGGTTCTCCAGTCCTCCAGTGCAGTGGAGCTTCGGAGAGTGCTTGGCACCACAAGTCTGAGCAGCGTGACGGCTTGGAGCGCGACATCCCCATCACAGTAACATCAGGTTAAGGTACATGAATACGTCAAATGGGGACGACAGCACTGTGCAAGTGATGCTGCTCAGGATGTGGTCACGCAATTCCAAGAGAATGGGCAGGCCTCGTGCTCAGCACTCTGCGCTTGTGAAGGTTCTCGGACGGCAGGCCATTTTCGAGGCCTTGCTCCTGCGGAGCAGGTGAAACACTCCAGCAACCATGAATTCCAATAGCTGCTAGCTTAAAACTTCCAAGTGCGAATGTCTCCAACCCCTGTGTCCGCACAAAGGTCATACAACCAGGTGGACATCTCTGCACCTGAGCTGGCAATGGCTGAGTAGCTCTTGAGCTGTCTGCTTCTCTCTAGGGCGTTCGGATCCTTTCATTGACGTGGACCTTGCCCAAACCTGCGTTCATGCTTTTGCCGCACCAGGACTCTTTTAGGGTTTGGCCAAATCTGGTTGGCTGTTAAAGTAGTTAGACTTTTCTCTTCTCAGTGCCTACAGCGTTGGCCGACATCAGCTGTCTGTCCCTTAGAGGCCAACGCCTAGGTAGCTTGTGCAAGAGTGTCCGAATCTGACAAAATGGTTGCGTTTGAGGCATTGTTCTGAAGAACAATCAATGCCAACTAGCTGTAGCTGCGTATCCAAGACGTGTGCATAAACCCTAACCTTCTTGAACCCTAAACCGAAGCTCATCTCCGAGACTCACTCTGCAAGCGTTTCGACATGATGGGTGGGGGGCTGCGCCCCCCAACCCCCGCTATTATCCCCCCCTTCCTTTAACCCGCGCGCGCCTGCTTTGTAAAGAACATCAGCCCAGGAGAAGCCATGCGTTTTCAAGCATACGAATCATGTCCACGCCCGTAGTCTGTGTTTGCAAATGGGGGGCTGCCCCACCCCCCGCATCTTAATTTGCAAGCCTATTCTATACGAATCCTTCGCATTGCCCGTCAACCCCCCTGCTTTTATATTTTTTTTGGCCATGCATTTTCAAGTCTAAACATCTACGAATCCTTTCGAAAACCCGTCCTGCAATCATTGTGCTTGCAAATGGGAGGGGGAGGAAGGGGCTGCCCCACCCGAGTTCGGCCAAACAAAAACAACTCCTCTGCTTTTCCCGGACGCAACGAACTAAACGGGACCCCAACCCCATGCACCGCCGGCCAATGTGTTTGTGGTGCGTGCTTCGCACTCCCCAGATTTCCATCGATCTGCCGAGGCATGAACCCAGATGCACCATAGGCCTCGCTTGCATTGCTTCAAGCGTGAGAACCAAAAACTCGTGAAACCTAAACTTCCTAACGCACCAAAATTTAACCCCCAAACTCACCCCCACAAAGCCCAAGGTGAAGTGGCCCTTTGGGCCAAGTGGAAGCACGTCGGATCTGCGAGAGCACTGATGGAGTCACTGGACTTCTCGGGTGGGGGGGGCGGTTCCGTGCAGGAGTTCAGGTGCTTCGTTGCAAGTTTTTGAAGTGTTGAATTTTGAAGTGGGAATTTGGGAATTTGGTGGAGCTTCAGAGCTTGAGTCGGTCCTCGCCCTTCGCTTACGCAAGTTAGAAACCTTAGGGACCACAGCTCAAAGCTTGAGATTTACAGGGTGTAACCCTTCGTGAGGGTCTGATAACAAGTGGAAAGCTTCTTAGGGGGTGCGCACTGATCATCATTGTTGAGCGTCTACGACCTGCTCAGGTCCAGCATTGTGACGGTCAATGCGAAAGGCTTTGCGGAGTGCATTCGGAGGGCAGCTTGGTCGCCAAACACAGCAAGCAGGAGCATCACATCCGAACTGCAACCCTTCTTCGCCATTGCTCAGGATCCGGCCGTCGATGCCATGGCTTCCGTTTATGCCAAGACGCCACTTCGGACGCATGCAGGTATGCTCGCGAGAGGGACGGCCTCATTTTGGGGGTCCGGAATTTCCGTGCCACCCAAGAGTATTGGCTCAGCGCAGTACATATAGGGCGTATAAGTCAGAATTTACGGCCAGGCCTAGGTACTTTGTTACGCTCTCCGGCTTCCCACCATGGAGTAGAGTCTGAACAGCAACACGACATAGCAGGTTCATTCAGCTGCTGAATGATTCGAATGTGGTCAATGACGAAGAGCAGGCAAGCTATCTTGCTTGGGCCCGAGTAGCTTACCTGACGGCCCCCAAGCAATATCAAGCAATCAGCTTGATGACTCGTATGCATCGATTACTGTAGGTAGAGTTGTGCACAACCTTGTTGATGAAACAGACGTTGAACCCCCAAACCCGACAGGAAACATCCTGCCATGCGACCAAGAATCTGGCAGTCGACAGCTCAGGATGCAGGGTCGTGTACTTTCTGGGCGTTTGCGATTGCTAAGGTGAAGAGGAAGTTGCCGTATCCTTTCATACAGGTTGCTTGTTGCTTTCAGGTCCCGGTAAGACATCTAGCCCTCTTCTTGACAAGACCTGCAGGGTCTGTCTCCAACATGAGCTATCCTAATAGCCCGCCCAATCCCATCAAAGGACTGTGCACAAGTAGCCGCAACCTCAAAAAGGTACCAAGTAGACTTGAGCCCTGGCATCCCTTAACCCCGCTTTGAAGTGAGTCCCGCCCAAAGCCTCCTAGGAAGATCTCTGGCGTATCCTGGCCGCAGGGGGTGGGTGCTTGTCCAGCTCAGGGTTGGCTTTTGGGTACATGTTTGCTCCATCGCTGGAAATCCTTCTGAAAAATCTTTCATGTTTTGTGGGAGGATGGGGGGCCGCGGAGCGAAGCAGTGGTCACTTCGAGCAGAGGTAATTTCCCAAACCCTCAGCTTCGGAGGGTCCAAGTAGCCTCCTTCCGAAAGCCTGAAACCCTGTCGTTGATCATGGCGTTCATGCGGTTTGGGTTTCGACGATGTCTCGGAGCTGACCGCATTCCAAAATCCGCGAAACCCATACAAAGCGCTATGTAAGCTTTCAGCCGTAGCTGGATCTGAAACTGCGAGTGCTCACTTTGCCTGTCTGAGCTGTGAACGGGAAACACGCGGCCCTGCTGCAGACGAATACATCGACAACAACGACACGCCGAACCAGGGGAACTTCCTGGCAGCGGCAAATCGTGCGCGGGTTGCATTCTGTATTGCTCTCGGGCATTCATGCCTTGTCTTCACGTGCTCTTCACCCTGAACCTTGCGGTACCCCCCCCCCCAACCAAGGCTTCATCAACATGACGCGAAAGGGGATGAAAGAACGTGCCTTCAGCTTCAGCACTGGATGACCCCTGATCCAGCAGCTGTGACTGCAGTGGAGCTTAAACAGCGTTATGGCCGGGTCCAGACGTAAGTTTGGGACTTTTCCGTTCAACCAGAAAGCTGTACACCGGAGCACCAAGCCTTGCAGGGCTTTAGCCTCGCGACGTGCAGAGCGCCTTCTTGATTAATTTGCTCATTGTCCTCAGTTTACAACCTGAGGCGATTGGAACGGCCCCCCCCACGGAGGAGATGAGTGGGGTTGGCGGGGTTGCAGTGGGACTCAAAAAACGGAAGTCTGCACCCCAAACCTGAAGTCTGGGCCTGGGCTGAATAGCCGGACCCTAAACCAAGCTTCCTAAACCCCCTCACGCAGCCAGGAGATCCCCTGACGAATCTATCTTGACTGCCGCCCTCAGCCAGTCTTGCTCACGCTAAGGCATGGCAACGGCTTAAGGTTGTGAGGGCGGTTTAGGGTTAGGCTTTGGGGCTGGCATGAAGCAATATGAAGCAGCTTCCAGATTCAAAAGAGCTTGGGGGCTTTAGGGCCGTGCTTTTAGTGGGTGGAGCCGTGCCGTGATTTCACCGATCAAAGGATATCAATGATATCACAAATCGCCCAGTGTCCAGTCGAAGGCTGGATCTCTTGCCAGCAAGGAGTAGCGGCACCAGACAGCGCACATCAAAGCAAAGATCGGGCTCCGACTTGAGATGCATAGTCCGGCACACCGGGGTTGACTGTGTGCTCGCTAATCCTTACTGGCAGCTTCCACGACGAATCTCGCAAGGTTGTTCCAAGCCAGGGCTTGCAGCTCAAATAAAACGAGGCGTCCCCAGGCAAATTTCTAAGCGGAGGCGCGTCTGGACGTTGGACACCATCCGCCATCCATGCCCTGCATTCTGCTGAAAGTTCTGGTTTTCTAACTGCTCGGACATGCACGAAGTGCACGGCATCGAGCGCTTTATAGGTTGCAGTAGCTTCTTCAAGTCCAAGGCTGGCCTGAAAAACTGGCTGCGCTGTGACAGCGCAGCCGATGCAGCACCCTCGCCTTGTACTCTTGCTAAAAATCAGCTAGGGTCCTGCGGTGGTCTGGTCAGTCCAAATCCAAAGTGGGCAAGGCAATTGTCTATCGCGTCGCTTCAGTAACACCCACGTGGCGGTCAAGCAAAATGTGTTACCTTTTTGTCCTCACGGTCACTGTAGGACCTGGTCATGTAATTGTGGGGTTCCACAGCCCCTTCGTTGCATGCGAAGAAGAGGCGTTTTGAAGGATGATAGATTTGCAGCATGCGCTGCTCACTGCCTGAGGACGGAAGTCGTCAAGAACAAATTCTTCACACCGCTGCTTGCGTTGGTCAGCGCATTTTCCTTTCAACTTCAGGCTGCAGGCCGTCCTCTTGTACTCGTTTCACGCATCGGCTTTGCACTTTTGCAGGCTATGAATGCCTCAGTGAGCCGCAATGTTGCTGGAATAGTTTTGATGGACCGTGAGACCTCCAGTATTCCTGGAAAAGGTGCGCGCACACACACGCAGACTGTCACACTCCTCCACCACATTCTTCTTCCAAGACAGTCAAGACACTTCCAGATTTACCTCCTGAGCCTTGCCTTACGTAGAGCTTCGAGGCGTGCACGGGGCCCGCACCTGGACAAGGCACGTCTGCTTCCGATTGGGGGTTTCGGTTGTGCTGCAGCCTGGCCTTTTGTTTCAGGAAGGCGTTTCTGGTCAAACCTGACATTCCGGGTGGGAGGGCTGCTTTGCTTTGCCTGAGGGTGGCCTGAATGTGCTCAGTGTTCTAGGCTCTAGGTTTGGCTGTGGGGTTTGGCACAAGGTCATGGAGCAGGTCTCCGAGCGACTGCTGGGGCCCCGTGCAAACGCTCTTCCAGCTGATCTTGACAGTTTAGAGCATAATCTGGTCTCAGTGTGAGTGATGGGATCTACCTGAAAGTGTGTTCGCTGCAATTTATTCCTGGTACAGAATGCACCGTAGAGCAAGCATGACATAAAGACCCAAGCTGCGGGCTGAAAGTCTCGCTGTCTTGAAGATGCGACTTGCCGCTAGCCGCTAGCCGCTACTGTAGTCTGGCACAGCTTCACCCCAAGCCTTCAATCACCCATGAATGGCATGTGCCAAGGCAAGAGTTCACATGCGTGGACTTGGCGCTGACTGCCTGGTCCATGGCGACGATGAATTTTGGCTTTGCGGCGTGCCGTTTGGAATTGTTTTGGGCCTTAGGGCAGGGCCAAGGGTCACCTTCGGCATGATGGGCTCTTCTAAACTGCCGGTATTTTCCCGGGACCTTGCGGAAGCAGCACCGAAGCCATGCAGAGAGAGAGAGAGAGAGGAAGAAAAGAAAGAGATAAATAACACAACTTTCTACACATATGTGCATACATATATATATATCTTCATATACATATACAGATACAGAAACACTATACAAATACATACGTACATACATACAGAGTATAACGCCGAGGTATGTAAGAATACAGGGTAGAAAGATAGATCAAATCGATGCGCCTATGTGCGTGTGTGATATACCTTTCTCCACCTGGAGCCCTAGAGCCTGACAATTCATCATCCACCGGTCCGAGCCTCAAAAACTCCAAAATCAACGAGGGGAAGCATGGCATGAAGAGCTGAAGAGCCAAGGAAGCTGGAACCTCCAGGCCAAGGGGGGAGGATGCCATGCCTTGAGGGTTGCAGGGCTGAGGCAACCTGCAGAGTCTCTGATGAAAGTTTCCCATCAAGGCAAGGCAGCTCTGCATTACAGCGACTGTGGCAAGACATCATGCCTGGCCAAAGAGCACAAACAACATGGAATCACTGTTTGAGGGGGGTCTAGCTGCCTGGCTGCCTCGACTCATTCAAAGCACCGGTCAAACAACGAAGAAGCTCCCAAGTCGTGAGTTTGTGACTCGATGTGGACGTTGCAGCTACGACTGGGGGGTAAGTGCTTTCAGGGTTTAGGCCTGCGCAAGCACGTCGCTCCGAAAGACTGAAACATTTTTGAGGTAAGCGGGCTTCAAAGCATCTGATGCAGGTCTCTATGATCGCATCAGCAAGTGCTCGCTGGCCTGCATTGCGCCCCGACAGATCATCGCGGGTTGCTCAAACCCATGCCCTCGGCCAAGTGTTCTGATGCGCACTTTCCCCAAAAGATCCGTTGGGCATGTACGGATGTACGACGGGCTTGACATCTTCGAGTTTGCTGGCAGGGTTCGCCCCGTCCCCTTGAGTGCTTCCGATGTGGATAAGTTGAAGTTTCCTCCCAGACGTCAAACCCTACGAATACAAGCCCTGTCTCCGACTCAGGGCGAGTTTCAACCACAGGCCCGGCGTGGGACGCAGGAGGGCGCGCTTGTTCTGGTTCAGGCTTCTTTGAGGATGCAGGAATGCAAGCCAGAGAAGACCCTTCAAGAAGTGAAGCCTTCTAACAATGCCTGGCCCACCAACGCAGCCTAAGGAGGACGAAGTCCAATACCTCCCCAACTCACTTTGCCCAGCAGGCTGCACATGGCCATTGCTAGAGGCCCACATTGACCAACGAGGCCCTGGGAGAAACCAGGGGCTTCCACATACAGGCGCTGGCGAACATCATGTGGGCGACTGCCACTCTGAAAAAAGAGAACGATGCCAGGTTGCAATTTGGCGGCCTTGTGGTATCACGCAGTTGTTTTTTTCTTCGTGAGAATGCTTGACGAATGATGTAATGCTGGCACGCCTGCAACCCAAGGACGCGCTCATTCGGCACTCAGCGTACGTGGCCGTCCAGGGCTCTGCAACGCAGAAGGGGTTGGAGTTGTATGGTTCGATTCCAGCTTGATGGTTCTTAAGGGGTTAGTCTTCAGCAGAGCTTGTCAAGTTGGCACCGACCTTAACTTCATCCCATGCAAGCTACAAGCGACCAAGACAGGCCGGGACATAGGCCGCAACAGACAAGGTCAAGCACCTGGATGCGGGCATGGATTTCCGGCCTCACGAATACTCCACCATGGTGCACCTTGGATGGCACCAAGCTTTCAGGATTTAGGGTACCCAAGCACTTCAAGGAACGGCAGCGCTAGTGGCTAGCGGTGATGCACACGTACTCTCTGATGTAACCCTGTCCTGCCATGTCATTTGACGTTCAGAGTTAAATGGAGGCATGGCCGAACTGAACAGCTTCCGTCTTGAGCCTGGAAGTTGGAGCCGACAAACAAGAATGTTATCATGTCACATTGTTCTTGTTCTATAACAATGCAATAATATAGCAACAATAGAATACAGAAATACAAGAGTATAAGAAAGGAAGTTCCTGGGGAAGGCTGTAGCATGCTTCAACTCCTCATTGTTTCGACGGCCTCCTTTTTAGGGGGACTCCCTCAGACATGGCCCAAACCAAGCGACCTCACATGGCCTACAGCCCAAGGTGGTCCATGGTGATTACACAAGCTCGAGAAGAATGCCTGTTCAGCCGTGTCTCAGGTGGCGCAGGGTGGCTGTATGCCTTGAGGTTCGATCGGCGGATTATGGAACTTGACCAGGCTCAGTGGCCTCGACTAGGAAGACTACTCACCATTGCAAAGTATGCTTTTGCTGCTACTGCGCCATTCCCACAAGGACACCTGAACAAACTTGAACGATGCGCGAGGAAGCCATTACAAACGCTCCCCGAGCTGTCCTTTGCAAGTGCTTAGCACCACGCAATCCCTCCTCTAACCCCTGGCCGTGCCCTTAGAACTGAAGTGGGCCAAAGCTTCTGCAGTGTAATGTTGCATGGGTTTTTTGTCAGAAGGCCATGTTGTCCGGCGCGTGACCGAGTTCGGGCCACAGGCCAGGGGCTCGATGCAGATCAAGGTAAGAAAAATGACTCATGGATTCAATAAGGCTTTTAGGGTTCGGAGTTCACGTGTTAGAATTGCGGCTTGGTGTAGCACCAGGCCACTGCGGGGGCAAGCATCAGCAAAGTAGATTTGTGACAATACGACCAAGCTGCCCAAAATCCGGGAGGTCTTGGAGCGAATCAGCAGCCCAACGTGTAGACAGTTTCATCCCTTAGCCCTGCGCTCTACACCAACCCTAAACCCTGAGCTCTAAGCCCTAAACCCTAAGCCAAAATGGAATCCAGGAGCTGACAAACACGGCGTGGGCGTTTGCCTCCCTGGGGTTCAAGACCGAGGTGCCTCGGGGCCTCGGCAGGCGGAAGGTGTTTTCTAGACATTGCCGAAGTTATCTGTTGAAGCAACTTTGCTACGATGTAAAGACCCCTGCGTTAAGCCGAAGGAGTTTCAGGATTGACTAAGAATCTGGGGAGGGGGGGTGGGGGCGCCTTCCGCGCAGACCCTTCGCAAGTCCAAAATTCTAGAAGCTTTGGCCGCCATGAGCTCCAAGCTCGCACAGGGGCTTTTCGAGGCATTGGGGAAGGAATGCTGCTCGCCTGCAGAGGAGCTGCGGCCTAGATAAACTGGAAGCAAAGATATCCAAAATATCCTAGGCAGCTTCAAGCTCCGCCACTTCAATATGCCGCTGGGAGGCACCGAGCTTCGTCACTTAGAAGGCTGTACTCAATCTTCCTGCTCGGATGGAAGTGGCCCTTGCAGCCGAGGCAGAACTTGACAAATGTTGCCTGGTCTTACTCACACCTGAGAGTGGGCGACGACTTATTGTCAGAAGTGGCTGAAGTGGCACATTCTCGGATCCACGAAATGACACTGAGCTATGATTACACCACTGGCAACTGCACATCTGGTGCACGTGTGTGTGTTGCTACCATCTTTGTCGGTTTTCAGAACGAGACGTGACATTCTCGCAGCTTTGGACTTGAAAGGAATGTGCAGGATCTGGCACAACTTGCCCGGCTCTGAGGCTTTCACTGGCAACTGCCTGGATATGCTTTCTGAAGGTATTTCGGCAAACTGCTCCAAGCTGGCCCCGGCTCGGAGCGCACAAAGAGTCCAGGTTCAAAGGGTCTTTCGAAGAGTGTTGCCAGGGCTCATGATGGGGGGCTGGGGCGAGGCGGGGGGGGGGAGAATACGTCACAACAGCTGAAGGAATTCTTCTCCTAGCCCGACAGTCGTGCAGACCAAACCTCCAAAGCCAGCACCCTTAGCAAAATGACCAGGTGCCGGCGTCAGCTTTTGTGATTGCACTCGTTTGCCCATTTCCTGAATGGAAAAGTCGTCATAAGAAAAAGCTGGAGCCCAAGCCCAGCCTGCTTTGGGCGGAATTGAAAAAGACTGCGAGGAAGAATCTCACTTCAATGATGGAGGACTGCGCCTCCAATCGAGCTCATGGGTTGCCACCTTTCCCGCCTGCAGGGTGCCCCTTTCACATCCTTTCAGATACCATGTGGCCGTAAGCCTCACAGCTCCCAGGCCCTGACGCTGGTCTTCAGCCGTCGTGCCAACTTCGGCTTGAAGGCCGCTCCGGCGACCTTCCAGTGTTGAGCACGTCTGAGCAAGGGCGCTGTAGGTTTAGGCGTTGAGAAGTAGCAGCTTCGGGCTTGGCACAGTTCAGTGCTGAGGACCCCCCAGCCGCAAGCCTAAGGCCAAGCCCTCTATGGTCACCGTAGCAGAGAGCAGCAGCAGCAGCAGCAGAGTCTGTCAGAGGAGGACTTGGAGGATGACGGCGTGCTTGGCAGTCGCGACGTGACACTGGCCCTGGTTCTGGAGGTGGGGGCCAATGCTGCTGTTGCGAGGTTCGTTCCTCTTGATGTTTCGGGGTGCCTTTGGGAGTCTGGGAGTACAAGACTGGAGGCGCTTCGGCTTGGGAGAGGCATGGGCGGGTTAAGACCAAGACCCCCTTAAACCCCAAACTGCTCACCCGACAGTTCAAACATGACTCAAATCAAAGACTCGCGGCGACTTGCCAAAGGCTTCAACTAAACCCCAGACCCTCTAAAAGGACAACTCGACACGCCGTGATTCTGCTTGCTCTTCGGAATACTTTTGGTGAAATGAAAAAACAGGCATGACGTCGAGATGCCATCAGCTCACTCGCAGGTGACCAAGGCCATGGTGCGGAAGATCCGCCAGCCCGGTGCGACGCGCCTTGGCCAAAGAGGGGAGGGGAGCGGGGGGGGGGGGGGTTGAAGGCGCAGGTCCAGAGTCCAAGGCTTTCTCCGTGCTTGAAGATCTTACGACGGACCCGATGCAGATAGTGACTCCTTTAAGTTTAGTTCGTGGCTGGAGGACCGATTGTTTTTTTTAGTGGGGTGGTTTTAGTTGCTATCCTTTTCCCCAGACAGTCTACCTCTGGTTCTGGGCTTACACATACGGATGGGGTCAGCGAAATTCTGGCCAAGTACTAGAAAGAACATAAGCAGAGGGGTCTGGAGTAGTATTAGAATCCAATTTCATATGTTCTTCTGTTTAGCTAAAGTATTAGGTAGAAGAACCACCAATATCCCATTCACGGGCTGAAACTTGTGCAAACAATATGCACATAACGGCTATCGAATTGCTATTGAAAATACGAAAAGATGAGTCAACTAGCATCTTACACGAGTTGAAGCATGTACTGTCGACATGGTGCAACTATGCCCTCCGCCCAGTTGGAACTTCTTGTAATGAGAGAACCTCAACCCACATCGTACGTCAAGATCAGTATCCGTTTCATTTGATTCGCCACTATCGCTTGTACAAGTTCGATTGCAGCCCAGTCGATTGTAGCAATTCCTGCCCCAACATTTGACAAGTTGCGTTTGGGATTGCCATTGCCGGAGATGAGGACGCCGGACGACGCTTGGATCGTCCATGACCTCGTGCTTGTGTGGTTCGAGGCAGGAGAGAGCCCGGACATGCGCAGCTCTTTCTCTTCCGGGGCACCTCAAAACAGCACAACTCACCGAGCTGATGTAAATGTGATGTACATGTAGGGCAGTACCAAGAGTCACCGAAGACCCAGAACGACCCAGAGATTCACAGTGCCAGGAGAGCAAGGCATCGGAGCTACTGGGCGATGCTTGGAAGATGCTGGATGCGTGCCCTCTTCGAAAGTCAATTCAAGAACTCAAAATCAGAGCGGAGGAAGGTTCTTGAAGGTTCTTGTGACTCTGTGGATGCTGCTGCTCGAGCATGAAGAGGTATATGGACGGCCCATGCCCTTAGCAGCCTTAGCACGTGCTTGTGGCGTTCCTGTGGATGCCTGACAGAACTGTGTATGCCCTGTGGCTCAAAGCACCAAGGTTTATACCATCAAGTTCTTGACTTCCTGCGCAACACGCCCCTCCTTGCCCGCGTGCATCTCTTACCTGGGCATGCAGCCCCTGAAGCATTGCGGGATTCTTGGTGTTGGCCACCTTGGCAAACACTGGCCGAGGCCCTGGCCTGCGGCTCTGTGGTGCAGTCCGCGCACGTTCCGATCTACGAGCAGACGCATGGCTGTATACGACTTCTAGTCGCAATGCCTGTAGGGGGTGTTTAGGGCTTGGCATTCGACTTCTGAGTCCGCTCTGTGCAGCTTGCACGAAGGTCTTTCAGAGAACTGGACATCAGGCCATTTCTGTGCACGCATGTGAGGCTTAGCAGCCTTTCCCACATGTCGCATCTTGTCAGATGTTGCCAGGTCTCTTGGGATCAAGTACACCGGCGTGCTCCTGGCTGAACTTGGTCTGACTGACAGGCAGGGCCGGCAGGGCAATCTGACAGGACTTCTTAGCCATACAGCACCATCCCTCGAAGCTCCGTTCGTGTGGGTCGAGAGAGCCCTACTGGTAGTAGCCGTGTGCTTGACTCCGAACCCTGACTACTCTGGTTCGAGGTCGAGGTCCGAGGTTGGCGTAGCGGCTTAGCGGTGGATCTTTTGTTCCTAGCATTGTTCGGAGACCCTCTTCTTCGCGAGGGGCGACGATGGTCTGAGCGAGTCCGCTCGGCGCATGCTGGCAGAGGACATCAGCATTTGTCAAGGCATTGAGCCTCAAGATCCTGACCGGAGGGATCGAAAACCGAATTCCGCGTTTGGCCCTGTAGCCGCCACGACCCTAAGCCCCACACAAGCCCGTTTGCTCCTTGACCCCACATCAACCCAGACCTGGCGAAGGAGAAGGCCGAACTTCTGCGTCAGGCTCGCCCTGTTTTTTCTGAGATTTAGCTAGGCTTTTAAGGCGATTTCGATGAAGGGGGCCTGTGGACACTGTTACGAAACAGTCAGCTTTTGCCGAGTAGCACACAATCTCGGTAGGATGCAGGTGCCAAGTTACATGGCGACTCTTGGAGATCAGGGCTGCGTTGCCTTCTAACGACCCGGCGCTACTGACTGCAACAGGTGACAACCAGCAGAGACTAAGATTCATTTGTGCACGAAGCATGCCCTTGCCCAACGGGCTGGCTGGAAGCCGGAAGAAACCAAAAAAATCAGCCGATCATCTAAGTTCTAGAAACTTCGTTCCGAGTTGACTTGAAGCCAGTCGGAGGACCCAGGGGCCGGAAGCCAGAACTGGTGCCTCTTTCGCTCCTTTGGCCAGACACTATTTGGGTTTGATGCCCGCGGCGTGGGCAAGCGCAGAAGTGGAAAAGTAAAGATGGCTGTTGGCGGTTCACCGTTTCGTCCGCTCGCACAGCAGTGTAGCTAATAATATTCGCAGCTTCCGAGCCAGAGAACAATCCCAATAATTGTTCAATAAGATAGAATGAGTTTCCCAAAACATGTTTGACCCTCGAGAATCCCCACCGCCGCAGGCAAACCCCGAACCTTCACACACTAAGTCCTAAAGGCTCAAAAGCAGCATCATAAGACGCCAAAGCCCATGGCCACTTGAACCCTTGACAAACAATGGGCCCCCAAATCTCTGTCTGACCACATCTGGGTGGTTGTCAAAATTATGATCCCTTTTGTTGGTACCCTAAAACTTAGGTGCTGTACTATAAATAGGGATCCAAAAAAGGGGCCATATTTTTGACAACCACCTAGACAAACGTACAACCGAGGCTATGATCTAAGCTCAGAGCTGCGCGAGGCCAAGGCCGGCCACGGCTGATTTTCAACGCGCGCCGGTTCAGGGCATATAGGCTTCAAGGTCTCAGGTGTCGGCGCATCGTGGTCTACCCCAACCTCGTTCAGGGCGAAGGTCGCGAAGGTCAGGCAACTGATGTCGGAAGGTCTCTGATGCATGTTGGCTAGCTAATCTTCGGGGCCACTTAAAATGACTTCACATAACCTGCCAACAGCAAGCCAGTTTCACCCTGGTGCGCATGCATATGCTTTCTCACATTGCTCACGTCATTGGTGAGCTGGCGCTCTATCTGAGTCACTTTCAGACCTTGCATGCGTCCTGTTTAAGCTTCGGGATTCTTGAATCCTTGAACGTTCTTGAACCTGATCCGAGTTTTACACGTTGATGGCCTTTTTTGCAAAGCATTTGGTGGTTGGGCGTTCCCTGCACAGGAGCTGGCCGGGATCCGCGTCAGGACAGGCTTCTGGGGAAGGGGCTCAGACCGGGCTTTGCCTTTTTGCGCACCCCTCTGCTACAAGGCGCACGTAGTGTTTTTTTCCTTGACACAGGAGTTGTGGTGGAGATCCGCTGGCTCTGGAGTTGCTCGACCCTCCTCGAGAGGCAGCGGGTCAGCGGGTCAAGCTGTGGAAGCTCTGTGCTGCTCCTGCTCCTACCCAAAGCAACATTTGAAAACAAAAACAAAAACCCTGCCTCTTTGTGCAGACGCGGTTTGCCTTTCAAGGCCCATCTTGTTGCAGTGCGTCTCAGCAACGATCGCCTGAACCATCGCCGACGCGATGCTGAGTTTCGAGCGTTCCGGCCTCAGTTTCCTGATGGTTAAGATCTGAGTCGTAAGCCGGCACTTCATCAAGCTGTGCCCACGTCGAATCCGAACGTGTCATATGAAGGGGTTCACCAAGCTCTCGGAAAGAGTCAAGAGGATCGCCCACACCGCCGGGATCCTACGCGCGCTGATCCCCAATGCCGACCAGCTCATGCAGGAGGGGCATTGTCCTTGATGGTTTTGGGATAGGTTGGTATGCACCAATGTGTGGTTTCGATTGGAGTGGATGTAGGGTCAGGGCTGCAGAGGGACTGCAAGGGCAAGACCATCAACCCTAAACGATAAACTCGAAAATGGAAAGCCAATCCTGAACTTCCGAAACCAGGACCGCATCGTGTGGGGAAACCGCCTGAGAGGTTGGGTCCACCTGCCCCTGGCTGAGGGCCATGTCTTGTTTCTCCAGGGTTCAGGGTTTGGGGGGTTCAGGGTTGGTACTCTCGGGATCTCTCGGGGCTCGGAAGGAGGTTCGTGGGTTCGTGAACACTTGGGGTCGCGCGATCTGGAAGTCTCGGCTCAGGTATGTGACGGAAGTTCCTTGCCTGTCCTGCCTCGGGGCCATGGTTCAGCGCCTGGTCTTTCAATGGTTGTCCTAACGTCCCCCTGCCGTTTTGGGTGTCGAAGTTGGGTGAAGCATCAGCTCCACCCTGCCTTGCAACGCTCTATCCGCAGTACCATTGGCACCTCGCTTTGGAGTCGTTCCTGTGGTAGGATCATTCGGGGCTGGCTGTATTTTATATCTGTGCATTCCCTCCACTTTTGCTTCCATGTATGTTGCACTTACCTGTGACGCTCAAGCCCTCTGAGTAAAAAGGTTAGGCGCGCCCCTGCTCATGGCTTAACGGATAACAACTGGTGGATTTCCCAAACTATAGGTTATCAGCCGTAGGCTCCCCGGAGCTTGCGGCACCACTGACCTGGAGTTTCGACTCAGTGCATGGGTGACAGCCCCGAGCTGGTCCCCACCGAGGTAGCAACTGATCTCGGTACAGACGGATTTACAGACGCAGAATCCGCGGAGATGGACCTCTCAGGCACTTTGGCTATGCCACCGTCTACGGATGGCCGTGGCCTTGTGCTGGAAGAGAATGCAGCGGCAGCTAATGTGTTTGCGCCAAACGCACCTTCTCCTTTCGTAGGACTAGGAGCTCCGCAGATCCACATGTACCGACAACAGTTTCAGCAGAACATCACGATAGGTGAAACACCTGAACAAACAAGACTTCTCCTCACTGAGTTAGAGAACGAAGCAGAGTCCAGGCACCAGAGGTTCCGCCTAGCTGCTGAAGAAGCCCACGATCAACAAATCGCAGATGTTGAAGAAAGGGCTAACAGGCAGCACGAGGAAGTCGTTGCTAGACTTGAGTCTGAAATTGCTAGCCAAAGGTATAGCTTTGTCGCGAGGACCCAAGGTCTCTTTTCAGAACTCCAGCAACAAAACCAGATAATCAATTTTCAGTCAGAACATTTTTCCGATGTTGGTTCGCAAATCACTCGTCTCAGGACAACTCTGGTTGAAGAGGCTGAACAAAACAAGAGGGAAAGCATTAACGAGATTGGGGAATGGTTTGGGAGAGAGCATGATGAGGCAATGAAAAGGTACCGCAGTATAGCCCTGGAAACTGAAGAGCAAATGAGGATTCAAAACATGACCCTCCAAGATGAATTGTCATCAATGGAGCGTGCGCTCCAGCTCGAACAGGACAGGAATTTAGGTATCAATCCCTCGCAGCAAGCTCAGTTTCCCAGCGCCACTGCCCCAGTTGCTCCAGCGCCAAGCGCCGGGCTTAGTGCTCCGTGTGCCCCTCAGTTTTCAGATCCGAGTGTGATTCCGATGAACATCAGGGCATTGTTTCCAAACTTCAGTTTTGGAGGTGTGGCAACTACTGCCACTCCAACAGGACCACAGGGTCCGGTTTCTGCCCCAGGGACCCCAACAGCATCAGCTAACGTCCCAAATCTAGGATCCTCTAGTGGTGGTTTGAACGCCGGAGCCCCTGGTCTTGCGGCCCCAACAGGCACGCCGGGAGGTCCGGCAGCTACTGGAGCCGATTTAATCGCACAGACGCAGCAAGCGCTGCTTGAAGCCGCCAAGCTTCTTAAAGGAGACAAAAGCGGTGAAGATGACAAACCAAAGGTTAAAGAAGCTGAAACCATCCGCCTGCCGGATTTCCCTAACCCCGAAACCTACCGTGCATGGAAAACCGCAACACGGGAAGCAGTTAGGGCAGCTTCGGATAGACCTGATGAAGCCTTCTCTTGGATTCTAGAGGTGTATTCTAAGGATGCTGATCATGAAAAGCTTCGTGAACCCGGTAAGTTTCTCACGCTGGATACCAAAATCCTAGCCGCTCTCACTAAGGTCGCCAAAGGTGAATTATCTCGACAGGTACTCACTTTCAAGGAAACCGAGGCGGTTCAAGGACGTGCCGTACGAGGGCGCCAGGTTTTGCTTATGTTTGATCAGTACTTCAAAACAAATGAAGAGGTAGGATCGCTCTACTCGGTAGAAGACCTTTTGAAGGTTACGCTGCATAGTGACGATCTAACCACATTTCTGCACAATTGGGAATCAGTCATTGCTGGCATGAGTCATGTCCCAGAAGAAATGGTTCTGCGTGACATCCTTCTTCGGCAAATCCGAAAGTCCTCAAGAATGAAGTATGATTTGGAAATCTACGACAGGGCGAAAGAGGGTTCTGCCTCACACTCCTATGCGTTCTTGTTGAAGTCAATCCGGGATTTGTTGACCCGTGAAAGGATGCGCAAGAACAGGGATAGAATCGCCAAGTCTCATGGGGACAAGTTTGGTGCTCCTGTTGTTGAAGGCGGAAGGCCGACACGCCCTCCGTCGAGGAGTGGCCGCGGAAGGGATCGCTCTGCCGGTAGCCAGTCTAATTCAAAGTCAAGGTCCCGCTCTAGGACCCCATCCAGATCTAGATCACCTAGCCGATCACAAAGCCCAAAGCCAGTTTGCTACGACTTTCAAAAGGGTAAGTGCACCAGGGGTGACAAGTGCAAGTTTTCGCACAAACCCCGTTTGCAATCCCCTGTTCGCACTGCCCCGAAGAAGAAACAGGTCTGCACGTTTTGGAAGAAGGGAAAGTGCACTAGGGGAGATAAGTGTCGTTTCTTGCATAGGGAACCGAGCCCTACTCCCTCAGGTGGTGAAAACGCAGCCCCGGCCCCTAAGGGCCCAGACAAACCAAGGTCCCCGTCACCCGCGCCAACGCGCAGGAAACCAAGCCGTGGACGCTCTAAGGAAAAGGATAGGAAGGCCGCATGCTGCATTTCGCTTGCGGCTGCAGCCTCAGCTGGTCCTGATGAGAGTGAACCACAAGATGGGGACGAAGACTACTGGGAAGTAGACTTCAAAAGGGGTGAAGCTGTTAGGCATCATCTGAAGTACAGAAGTACTATGTACAAGCCCGAAGTGTCATGTCCTGTTGCTCTTGAAAGGTTGAAGGGTAAGGCCAAAGTGATCAAGACGCTTCCCATTTCTCCGTACACTGCAAAGGAGAACTGGGACTGGAAAGAGGGAAGAGGGGGAACCGGCGATAGGACGCCGTGGACCGGCAAGACTGTTTTCAAGATCAAAGAACAAAACAAGAAGGTCAGGTTTTCCGACAAACCCAAAGTCAGGGAAATCCCCTTTGAGGGAAAGGGGTACAAACATTCCTACAAAGTTCGCAGGTACAATACTTGCTATGCTGATGCGGAAAACTGCCCTAAGCCTGACGCTAATGACCTTCAGGTTGCAATTAGGAACGCAAGGGAACTCAAGATGCTTCTTGCCCGGCATGAGGGGGGAGAGAAAACCGATTGCCACTTAGAGTGTGATGAGCCTGATTCTCTCATGTGTGGGATGTGCAAGCACGTTGTTGAGAGCTCAGAGATCGCTTGTCCAGGGATCGCCACGCCCTTAGAATTCCTTGCTGACACAGGAAGCGAGGAGGACCTTATCAGCGAAGCCGATCGTGCTATGTACTTCGGCGAAGAGCCAGTAGGCAACGCAATACGACAAGTGAATCTCATCACTGCTAATGGTAACGTCAAAGGTGACAAGTCGGTTAGGATCGACTTCCCGGAGTTTGGCAAAGAGCTAGAGTTCTATGTTCTCAACAGCACCCCTCCTGTTTGCTCCGTAGGCAGAAGGTGCATGGAGGACGGTTACGAGTTCCACTGGTACCCCAAAAGGCCGCCTTACTTTGTTGCGCCCAATGGTCAAAGACTAAGGTGTAGAATGAGAGGTATGGTCCCAGTGCTAGGGGGAGGAGCAATGGCCGCTCCAAGCGCTAAGGAGGAAGCCTCAGGTTCTCTCGGACGACCAGTGTTGTCCGAGGGTTTTCAGAAAACTGCCGCCCAATAGGGCCGGCCGAGGCTTTCGCAGGAGCAGCAGAGGAACGAGATCCAGTGGTCGAGCACCCCGATCCTGAGATCTCCGCAGCCATCAATGAGGTGCCGCCGATAGATATCCCCAAAGAGAAGCTCAAACGACCAGGTTGGGTTTCGCACCCAAATGCTAAGTACTTGATTGTCGGACACAAACCAAAGACGTTTCGTACTGCTACACCAAGGTTTCCAAGATGCGAAGTCAGATCTACTTGGTTGTTCAGGGAAGGATCTTGGGTCAAGGTTGAGGATAAAGTGAACATCAGGGAGCTTGACAACAAAGTTGCCCGACTGGAGGGTAACCCAATCCTGAGCCTCACTATCTTCGAAGACCCCGATGTTGAACCTGACAGTGACAACGAAGGAAACGCCCGCAGTCTTGCAGAGGCCGATCTGAAAGCTGAAGCCAAATCTGTTGAGCACTTGTTCTCGCACAGGCCCAAGAATCCGTTCTGCGAGGTATGTCAGCGCGCAAAGATGTTGGCTCCCCAAGCCCGCAAAAAGGGGGGCTCAAGTACCATTGTGTCAAAGGCCTTTGGGGACCACATCACTGTTGACCATATCATCACTCGTGACCTTCGTGATCATGGGTTCCAGGATGAAAGGGTCGCACTTGTTGTTAAGGACGTGTTCACCAAATTTCGTTACGTCTACCCCTCTCCGACTAAGTCAAGCGATCAGTGTTTTGAAGATCTTCTTCACTTCCTAGGTCAAGAAGATGCAGTTGGCGTTTTCTACTCAGACAACGCACCTGAACTTCATGCCGCTATCAAAAGCCTAGGTGTCCGGCATGTTACATCCCGCGAATATGTGGACACCAACAAGTCGGTAATCGAAAGAGAAATTCGGACGATTTTGGAGGGTACCCGCTCCAACCTTGTTCAGGCGGGTCTCCCCGACAAGCTTTGGCCGTTGGCCGCCCAACACCATGCGATGGCACTTAATGCAACTAAGAGGCTTGACAACGGGATTGTTCCCTGGGAGGCCAGGTATGGGGAACCGTTTTCAGGGATAATGATTCCTTTTGGTGCACGTGTGTTGTACTGGAACAACCCCAAACAGAACATTCCTGCGAGCTCTAAGTTTGCGCCGACTGGTGTTGAGGGAATATTTCTTGGTTACCACATTCAGCCTGGCTTCGTTTGGAAGGAGGAATACCTCGTCACCCCCGTCAAG